CAAATTCAATAAATTTTTTTTTATTTTGATTTTACAAATTAAATTCTATAGGAGTATAATAACACCTCTAGCTCTTCTACAAAAATTGTTCACTCTTATTTTTTTGACTAATCGAATTTCAGAATCAGATGTAATGTAAAAATTAAAACAAACCTCACTTTTTAATATTAATTAAAAAGCTACTTTTTGTGATCTAATTAAATATGTTTTTTATAACATTTTACTAATAGACACTATATTGTTCTAATTCTAGCTCTAACTATAACACAGTTTTTTTGGTTTTTATTTTACATATAACTTTTTTACTTAAAAAACAAAACACATTTGTTTTGACACCTGATCTTAAATTTTGATTGATCAAAATTATCAGGATAAACAATTTTTGTGGGAACACTATCTAAAATAGAGGATGATTGCATCATATGCATTGACGATAAGTCAACAATTCGAAAAACTAACTAAGTGCCAAGCCAACTTAACTAACAAGCAAATCACATGAACCCTCTAATCACCGAACATAAGCTACATACCCACATCTACCACGTGCTGACAGCTCAAACTATAAATATACCACCCTTACACCTGACAACTCTAATCCAGAAATTTTTAATGTTAAGATCTCTCTAAAGCAGAAAAAAGATCTTGGCAACAATGGACAAGCCTATAGCTCCAACAAAACAAAGCACTCCTGTCACCAACAACACAAATCCTAGCTTCAGTTTACTCAACTTTGACGAAAACACAAAGGCATACATCGATGCTGCATGCCAAGCTTCATCAAACATGATTATTAGTACTATTAAGAAATATATCGACCAAACATTGGATGCTTACATAGTTTTGATTAATAAGCTTAATGAATGTATTGACTCTTCTTTCAACTAGCAAAAGCAAAGTCCATAGCCAACACACCCTAACCAGAACTCGCAAGACACTGCTGCAACACATAATCATACATTCAACTTGTCCAGCACCCAACAAACTAACAGGCCCAATGATAGCAACAATATACAACAAGGTAATTGTCCATTAACCCCTCTAATAAACAACCTCTGGATCGATACCAACAATTATAGCCAGCAAAATGTAAGAGACACAATGACTCAGACAATATCTTACAACAATAAAACAGTAAAAATCAAGATCCACAATACGAAAGTTCTCTTTGTTTGAATACACAGAGGACTTACCTCCTGTTCACGGTTTTGGCAACTCTATTGCAGTCTATATAGAAAGAATTTGGCTATGGTGGGTCTTAAATTGGTCTGACAGACAAAAAATTATTAAGACAATACCCCACAAACCAAATCTACCATCACGCCTATAGAAAGCGATTGCTCTGGGTTCATACATTGACCTCAATAAATTTAGCCAAAGAAATCTGAAATCATATCTAAAGAACAATGAGAAAGAGCAATCTCTATTATTAGCTGATAGTAACGCTGTCGTAATATGCAAGCATAACTGACATCAAAGGTTTAATGATATCACAGAATAGCTGTTAGCATTCAGTGTCTACATGGATACCGTGTTAGTAATATACGATATAAAAGAAAAGAAACTAAATGAATACTGCAACTACATAAGTGCCCTTTGCGTAAAACAAGAGTTTGTAGCAATTCTCACCTATGATAAGGATCAAAGATTGCATCTCACAACAAACCATGACACAACGCTACTGGACCGAAATCTGGAAGCTGAGGGTAAAAATTTTGACGTGATCACTACAAAAAAACCATGAGGGTACTATGCTCCAAAATCGTCAAAACCCGATCTAACCTGGTACGATAGATATCAAATATAAACTAGAACAAAAGATCTTGCCTCAAAGAGGCCAACTGCAACTGTGTTCATATATGCCTAGTATGTAGAAATATAGAAAGCTTGGATATCCAGAGCGAAGGTGCTTCTACAACAAACAATCCAATATCAGACAACTAGATGCTCCGGCTTCCCACCCACCTAGGAACTAGTAAACAGCAAGATATATAATTATATATATATATATATAAAAAAAAAAAAAAAAAGAAAGAGAACAAACGAAACCTATAACAATGCAGGCACAGAAAAAATATTAAAAAAAAAAAAAAAGCAGAGAAAAGAAAGAATTGCAATCAGAATCACATACATAAAGACATTTTTACTTGGCTACAAATACACAAAATGCTATCCTGATATATATAAAAAAAATAAAAAAAATAATATATATATATATATATATATATTAACGACAATGAGCAACAAAACCCAACAACACCACAGAACTTACATACCAATTGGATATCGCTGAGAAGACAGCTATATATACGGAACACACCAAAAAAATAATAATAATAATAATAATATATATATATATAATACAAAACAATGATAACAATAACTAACATATGGGGCAAACATATACTCAAAGCAGCCTGCCAACAGCAGCATCGTTCATTGGGGTATTTCACGCACTAATTAATCAAAACTATGCAAGGTGCTATAATAATGCGACTATTATAAGATTTTATGC